GTTCCAAGCTTATTTACTTGCTTTCATGTAAAAAATCCAAATGAGGTTATGTGAGTACTTAATACGACATCAATAAGATGGATTTTTAGTCTTTATCGTAGTTAATTAATAACTGAGCAAGCACTTTACATTTCAGACCAAAAAAATACCATCCATACACCTCCAAAAACATTGTTTAATGCACCTTGTTATAAATTCTCAAATCGAGAGCCATCAAGTTTCACAAAACATTCTAAAATTCATAAGTTAGTGTTGAGACTTTTGCAGAACAAGCGGAGATGACAAAAAGAAAAAAATTGGGTTTGGAGCTGCAGCGATGCATCGCTGAAGAGTAATAATTATTAGAAAGGGGGGTGTTAAAACTGAGGATTACGAGTACGAAACATTTAGAAGGGACGGCTTTTGAGAGAAGCGTATGCTGCTTCTGAGTTCCAAAATTATTTTAATGGCTAAGAAGAGCATCAATTTTTTCTTCGCCAACAATCTCGTCTTCAGACATCTCGTGCGCATTCTAGTGCTCAACAACAAAGCACTTCCAGTTTCGCAGTCACCGAAGTGTGCACCAAATTTTGCACTTTAATGCTTAATGATGCGCCTTGTGTGGAGCAGATCGCACTTCGTGATCCAGTAAGTTTTTTTGCGTTTTGCATCGATCAGGAACACATTATAATGGCATTACGCCAGTATACACATACTACAAGTACATCACACAAATGTTTGTGTATGGTGTGTGTGTGTTTGTTTGTGGGCGCCTGTCCAAATATTTCGGTTCAACAACCAAGGAAGCTTTGACGATGGAATTTTGCCAGTGGATTCAAACGCCTCCCCTGGAACGCGGTGTCAACTTTAACGCACATTTAAACCCCGCATACCGGCACGTGAAAATTTTGGCGGAAAAATGCTAACTTGGGAACGAAGTATGCTAGGGAACTAAAATTTTTTGAAGTCAGTTTTGGTTTGACAGTCTAGGTTTCATTCCAAGGCAGGGCTTCAGAATATAAGTAAGCTGAATGGTATGAGAAAAAATAAACACCTGGCGCAATACGCATGATTTGTATTTTGTGGAGAAATTGATGAAAAAATTTAAATACTAGTGATCATAATAACACTAATAATCACTAATTAACAATAACAATAGTAATAAAAAGTAATTGTAGTAATAACAATAGTAACAGTAATAACAATTCACATTTGTACTTTGTTTAGCTGTCGTTTAATTGTAGCATGACTAAATGCCAACGATTCCTTACCCTACTTTCCTTCTACAGTTCTGGATCTTCTCCAAGTACGTGTTTGTTCGTAACGTGCAAATGTTCCACCGTACACTCCCTTTTGATGGTCAGTAGTTGGGGATGTGCTAATGATAAACTTATTAGATTCTGGGAATAACAGTACTTATATTATTTTACTCGCAGTGTATAAAGCTGTTTCGTCTAAACATGGTTAGTGGGTAAATTTTTAGTCGGAGTCGGTTGGAAAATGGACAGCAGCGATTGCAGCGAAACGTGGTATGGACCCACGAGCAACTGAAGTAGTAGATGCACAGGTAAATTTCAAAATTTCGACACAGCCGTATTCTAAGCGCATGAAGTATTTGATGTTTTTGTTCCTCAAAATGCAGTTTTTGAAGAATATCAGCTTGCTACTCGAAAACTTATTTATCAAGTTTGCTCGAAAGTGTCGGTGTGGAGCCATATGTCACTGAAATATTGCATGGGCTGGCGTAGTACACATCTAGAAGCACTTGTGCAAGGCTGTTGACCTATTCTACCTGTCGCCAACTAACATATATAATGTCAACTGCTTGACGAGCCGGACCATTTCGGCTATATACAACCATCACCCCTGTCCGAATTGTCATTTCTTTCCCATCTATGTACCGCTCAGTCCATTTTCTGTCAGCTGATGATGCACTGTATTGAATGTTCTGTCACGAACACGTCGTCATTCAGCATTCCATTTGGCTGACTGAGCAAGCAAGCGTATATGTGTTCACGAATGGACAGGTCAAGCCACAGTATGATCCATCATTCTGCTTGACTTAGCCAGCAGTTTTGGGTGTCGCATCTCAGATTCTTGTGTGACTTTTACGAAACCTTGATACTAGTAAAGCAGGTGCAATTCTTTCCGTCCAATGCCTGAGATTTTTAGTGACGCTCTGAAATCTGCGCCCAGTGACTTAACATACTGGGAGGAAACCTGCATGTTTCAAATGCCTACCATTAATACTTTGAGTAGTGCCTTTGACTTGACTTTTTGCAATGTGCCTTGAGACGAGCTTTAGTGGATGTTTTTGGTTGTTTTCAGTCAGGTGCGACAATTGATCCGGCTCGTCAAGCAGTTGATGCTCTCAATAACCGGTGTGTACGTTTGCTGCCCGTGCTACATTTTGCTGCCGAAATAATTATCCCAACTCCTTCGAATAAAACGGGTACATGCGCAAATACACGGTACGTTTCCGTTTCCTTGCTGCTAAAGTTAGGATATTCAGGGTTCAGTCCATGTCTTACTTGCTTAACGAACGCTGCCGATAAGCGATCATTTTGCCCGTAAAATCTGATGTTCCTCTCATCACTTTACCCCGTTCCC